CACACACACACTTTCCTAGTTTAAAAAATAGGACAAAATCATGGATTGTGTTTTCAGTTTTATCTGGTGTTTGCTGGGGCTGATGGTGTTAAAAAAAATTAACCGACCATAGCTCGTTTTTAAGATATATGGTTTGAAGTGTCAGTTCAGATTTCTAACCATTTTTATTGACTGTAACGCTGCTATTAACTGATTATGCTTAATACCTAACAAGGTTAAGAGCTATTTATAAGTCAAGAATAGTCTCTACTGAAAACGCTATTGTTCTTACACATCTAATGGAACTGCCCAGGCATTCGTGTCTTTATGGCACAATTCAGTGTCTTTTAATTAAGATATAAGCTTCATTGTGTTCAACAGAAATACATAGGGCAACATTCTGCTGAAAAGTACAACAGTGTGAGTGATATGACATCAGTTAGCAGGAGAGATTGCTAGCAATTAAAGGGTTTCATGTTTCATCCGAGGGCTCACACTACTTGTGCACAATGAGACTGATTGTGCCCAAGCCATGTGAACTTTGGGCTCAAATCAGGGATTTTTAATTATTTATTTACTGGCAACTCCCCTGCTGTATAACACTGATGCTGCACAGTTACTTAACAGGATTTTGTCCTCACATGGCAAATGGCCCAAATTTTGTACTTTTCAGTTCTATGCACTATATAAAGAGATTTATTGGTACTCTTACTTAATAGCAGAAAAATTAGTCTTGCAAAAAGAAAAGAAAAAAAAGGAAAAGGTCAATATATTCCATGATTGAATCACTAATTTTTCAATTTATGAGGGCTCTATACCATGACAAAGCTGTCAAATTAAATCAGAAAAATACTGGGCCTTGGTAGGCTTCATGATTCCCTTCTAAAATGAAAAACCCTACTATACACAAAGACACCAATAAACTCCAAAAATGTTAACTCTGTAGCACTTACTGTATCTTCATTTTTAATCTATGCTAAATATGTATTTTATATATTGGTCAATAGTAAATTCATTGCTCAAAGCTATATCGCTGGAATGATTAAAATTAAGCATATTCATGATTAATGTAACATACTGTGTCATTGGTGTTCTATTTAACTACTGTTTAAAACAGATAAAGCAGATTTTCAGTCATTCTGAAACACAATAAAATAAAGTCACCTTTTTAAAAACAGCATGATGGGTCTACACATATAGTAAATTGTGAAACATAATTAAAATAATCTTACCTATAAATAAATGGTGCTACTGTGGCTGTATTTGGGTGGCTGTATTGCTGTTGCTGAGGAAGTTGGACAATGCTGTTTCCTGCTGCTTGCCCACTAGTGACCATTGAAACAGCAGCAGATGGACTAGGGGTAAGAGCTGTGCTGGATTCTTTCACTTCAGAAGATGGGGGACCAGAAGGAACATATGCTTTCTCATTAACCTGGGACTTTGCTGTTGACAGGGGTTGATTTCCTTTAGAGCTTCTCAGTTTTTCAGTCTCTTTGCTTCCCGGACATGTTGGTGAAGGGCTCTGCTTTGATGTTGGTACTTTAGATCCAGGTTTTGGTATTCCACTGGATGATGGTATTAAACTTTCCTTCTTGGCTGATGTAGCCTTGTTCCCCTTGGGTATCAGGCTTGCAATTTTTGAGGTCTTTTTTGCAGGCGTCTCTGTGATCTGGTCCTTTTCTTCTTTTGCTGTTTTCTCTGTGCAAACTTTATTTTTGTCCCTGTTCTTTTCCTCTTTGTCCTTTGGCTGCAGCAAAGACTTTTTATTGCTGAGATTTTTGCTTCCAGCTTTTGGAGGGGTTAGTTTAGGAGATATTTTAGGACTACTGCTGGTGGAGCCACCACTGATAAGCCCACTACAGAAGCCATCCATTTCACCACACTCTAAAAAGGCTTCATCTTCTTTCCCACTTTCACTGGGGGCTGAACTTGATGACAAAGGGGCCCGTAGAACAGTCCTTGCATTTACTAGCTTGAATTTTTCTAACATGGATTTCTGCCCAGACGAAGGAGGTTTTGGTCCTTCAGAAAGAGGTTTAAGCCTATCTGAAGGTGGTGGAGGAGAGGTTGCAGGACTAGGCTGTTTGACAGATAGCATGGTAGATGTGGCACTATGTTTGACATTCATGGATTTGCTGCGCCAAGGCTTGCTGGAACTTGGAGAGGGGATGGCAGAGACCGGCTGCTGCCCAGTGCTGGTGGGATGCTGTACATTTCCATTCATGCCTGTAGATGGGTGAGGACCTTTGGATGATTCGACTGTACGAGGGGGGGGGGAGAGAAGAAACAGAGAAAGGGGAAGGAGTTAAATTTCCTGTAATACAAAGTGCCAACTCAATTGGCTGCACATTTGAAAATGTAGCTACAACTAAACACTGCAAAGACCTGTTCCTGTGAACCTAGTTTATATATGGAAGATTCCCCCTTTCGTTAGTGCTTCAGAATTTTCTTTTTCCTACTTTTGACATTACACTGGGATTTAGAAATACCAATTTAATGCTGAAATTAAATTCTGTATATATACTATACCACAGTGTATTAATTTTGTATTCCGCTAGAATAGCTTTGGTTTGTCATTCTCAGTTATGAAAGGATGTTGACATAACAGAATTCTAGGTTCGTCTTTTAACAGCAGGCACAAGCATTAGTAGTAAGTGCTATTTTTCTCAGGGCTGCCTAACTCATAGTTTGAAAGAAAAAGAAAAGAAAAGAAAAGAAAGAGAAGGTTGAAATACTTGGGAAATATTGGAAAAGACAGAGGTAGGACTTTCCAGACATAGAAGGAAGAAGAGGTAATGTTTATTAAACCAGAAATAATTGCTGGATAAGAGATATGAACAGTAAAACAAACTGATTTGATTTCAAAATCAAAACCATCAAAATGCAGTGGTGCCTCGCTTAACAATTTTAATTGGTTCCAAAAAATTCAACGCTATGGGAAAACATCGCTAAGCGAAACGCGTTTTCCGATAGAGATGCATTAAAAACTGGATAATCCGTTCCAATGGGAATGGATTGCCGTCCTTAAGCGAAAATCGCCATAGGAAACATCGCTAAGCGAAACACGGTTCCCCCATTGGAATGCATTGAAACCTTTTCAATGCATTTCAATGGGGGAGGAAAAAAATCACCAAAAATGCAAAAAGAGTCAGAACAAAGCCAAATTTGGTTAACAAAGAGTTTATTAAATGCACTAAAGATTTCAAGCACTCTAAACCCTTTTTTAAAAACAATTTAAAACCTTTTAAAAATAGCGAAAACGGAGCTGTCAAAAACATCGCTAAGCGAAACAGGGGGACCTAAACTGTCATCGCTAAGCGAAGCAAGGTCCCGAACATCACTATGCGAAATTTCCCCATTGGAAACATCGCTAAACAGAGCGCAAGATCGCTCCTAAAACCTCATCACTAAGCGAATACATCGTTAAACAGGGCAATCGCTAAGCGAGACACCACTGTAATAGATTGTCAAGAGCAGAAGTAAGATTTGTAGCAGCTGCAACAAAAGCTACAGGAATCATTCCCCTAAACTGGAGTTTACATATGCTTACAATGGTTTGCCCCACACAACATTGGCAAAGTTGAATTTTAGTATACCAAGTGCTTTGATCGTACAATGTGGAAAATTCGACTGTAAACCAATATATAATTAGATACATTAACGACACATTAAGATAATTCTAGAGCACATGCTCCAGGAGTGCACTTCAGGAAGTGGAACTGAGATCATAAGAACCTACAGAGCAACTATCTGTGAAAAGAGACAATAATAATACATAATTAAGTCAAGTCAATTCTGACTTATGGTGACCCTTGTAAAGTTTTCCAGGTAGACAATACTCAGAAGTGGTTTGCCATTCCCTTCTTATGAGGGCTTCCTGAGATTGCACAGCGTGCCCAAGGCCACACAGGCTGGCTCTACTTGTAGGAAGCACAGTGGGGAACTGAACTCCCAATCAGATATCTAAACCAGCCAGCTAAAAGAGATAATACTGACCTTGATATAAGCCAATGTCCTGGCTGAAGGCCAAAGTACACACTACATCAAATATATAGTTTGGGTTTCTTTTCATGCTTTTAATAGCATCTACAGCAGGACTGATACTTTTTTACTGCTGCAAATCACCCCTTAAGTTGTACTGATTCAAATAGCAGCTTTTTCAAGGGGGCATTTTTAACAGGAATTGTCTAAAACAGTTGGAACAAAGAATTTAAAAGCCCTTTGCCACCACCCTGATAGTCATTCCCACCACCCCAGCATAGCTGCTGTTTAAAGTAGAAAAGGTATACATTTTATGCAATGGGCAAATTAATTCTCAGAAGGCAACTTTGTGTGTGCACATAATTTTACAGTTTTTAGGGGGGAAACAACTAAATCCTCTGATCTCACATCAAAAAGTAACATCTATTTTCATCCCTACAACTGAGATGCAGGACTGAAGAACACAGCAAGCTATATGAAAAACATATGCACTTCTAAAAAGTCTTTCCAAATGAAGCCCATATTTACTAATGTAAATCTGAACTAGTTACTTGCTCTATTAGCATATAGTGCAGAATTATTAAAACAAAGTGTTAATAGAGCTTAAGCTCTAGAAAGCCACCAGTTATGTTTGCTTAACCACTTGGCAACATTTAATTATTTAAATCACATGTTTCCGGTTGGTTAAATACATTCCTTACAGCCTCTGTGTTACGCATTTCTGCAGAACAGCAAAGAATATGAACAACACACGTAAGGATAATTCTCTTTCTAACCTATATATGCAGCTATCTGAATCTGGAAATTTTCATACAGTCAGTAACTTTTCATACAGTTGATCAGTACAAATAACTTCTACAGTAAATGTAAAATCCATAAAGGTCTTAAAAGAATATCAGTATTTAATAAATTCTTGTATTGCCTGCACTAAAGCCATAAAGCAACATATTACTGTATTCTCATTTGAATCACTTGGCCTTGTGTTATATTTATATTCATGTACTACCAGTTTGTGCCTCGTTCTGCTTATTTTTAAACTCCATTAATTAACATAGCAACCAAAATGCAATTGCACTGCACCTGAAATATTAAGACTGCTTCATAACAATGAATATACAAATTTGCAAACATGATCTTGCAGCTGTCGTTTGATTACCTAGGAAGTCTGTTGGTAATAGAATCCCTTACTTCTGATCTGATTCACAGAACATAGTTCTAAGCAGTCAACGAGAGACTTCACTTGAGAACAAAAATCTTAGCAGGACCCTGGCGAAAGGTACCATTAGAGAAAACTTGTTTGGTGCATTAATGCATAACCCTCAATGAATTAATTTTCTGGAATCTAGATTTTTAAAAAACTGTGTTTCCCTCAAATAACAATGAGGTCAAAATATTTTTTTTCCACTTTGCTTACTATGAATAATTAAATTCTGAAAGTCTGTCAATGACTTCTGTTTAATAGCCTATTAGTTTTAAAAGTAGGATAAATATGTCAATTATACTTTATCAGATAACTGAAAATACACAAGTCACTTTGTTACATTATAGTATATTATATGCCAACAGGTGGAAATAGACACAATTTCAAAAGTATCTGCTCAGGTTTCAGCTGAAAGCCACCTCAAGCATATTATTAGAAAACACAACTCACATGGTAACTAGTAGTTTTCCTAGAATAAAACCAAAACAGATGGGGCTTTTTCTGTTTTTTATTTTATTTAGTGGTAAAACATACTACCTCTGTGACAACAGTTTTTCAGTGTATTTTACTTTTCAATAACCATCATATTATTTCAGTGGTACAGCATGTTATTTTGATGGAGATCCTGGCATCCCTAGGTAGAGCCAGTGGTGTTTGCTGCTAGAGTCTGGGGACATAAATCTGGGGCTGTGCACTGAGGAGTAGGGCATGACCAAGGATTTCTGATGGCATGGGGCTGAACTAAAGGAATGTAATGCTCTGGAAGCCCTATGATGCACTACTTTAAAGCATTTTCCCATTATAAATTTGAATGGTACCAAACTGAATCAATCACAGCACCTTTAGAACCACATAGATGATGGGGACATTGGAGAAATAAAAAGATTCCTTCACAATTCTGGTTGCTTCACTAGCCATATTCCATAAAGTTGGATTCTGATTGCTTCACGTGCACTGCTTAGTCCAACTTATTAAAGGAATATATTTTAATTCCAGTGTTTTGTTTTGCTTTTTTTTTAAAAAAAATATTGCTGGTAGGGAGAGGCTGGCTCAGAAAAGGGAGCCCTAGAAAGCATCCTCTCTGAGGGCTACCTCAAGTCTTGTAGCACCTCTGGGTAAATCTTAGAAAGGATCTGCCTGAGACCCTAGAGAGCCACCACCACCAATCAGTATCAACAATACTGGGCTAGATAAACCAACACTGAAATTCAAGATAACTTAGTTTCCTTTGCTCCTGCATTTATTTGTTGCTTTCTTACCTGTCTTATTTTGTTCTCAGAACAGGACATTTGGCTTATAGAAATGTTCCTGAGAGATGGAGACTTACCTAACTGACTACACAGGAGCTTCTTATCAACTATCACAGCTGAGAAGGGGTTTAAACCAGGATTTATGATTTCCGGATGCGAAAACCATTCCACTTCTATGATATATACTATAGGAGATGGGCATGTTAGATGGAGTTTACAATATTTATATTCAGAGATTATTGTTTTCCCCAAAGTGAAGTTCTGATATACACACAACATTGATCAAGGAAGTGGATTTAATATGAATTTTTGGACGTTGTGACACCCAGGGGATCTTTACAGAATGGTTTGAGTTGAGAATTGCTCTTGACATTAGAAGATAAACTTATTTTAGTGATAAGAACTGGGCAAGATTTTTCTGCCAATTTTTATCCCATTTTATAATTTTCCCCCCCAAAAAATTATAAAATCATCGAAATTTGTGCAAACCTGGAACAACTGCTCTTTGGATCCATGGATATAAAACATTAAGCCTTGGGTGAGCTGGTGGCATCTTTCTTAACAATCAACAATTCATGCATGCATTGCTTCTTAAGGGATAAAGACACTTGCTTTTCATATATTTTGCATTAATTTAGAGTCTTTATTGGGGATAAAAAAATAGCAATTTGTCTCATTCTCAGGTGGAGGCAAAGAAATTTGTGGGACTTTCAAAATCTTGTTGGGGTGACAAGGAAATTTACCTTAGTGAGGACAAGGAATTTACATCCCATTCTGTGCACACATGGAGAAAAAGTTCTTATCATTTCCTGCATGTGTTAGTATTCACCTCCTGCCTTGACCCTCTCTTTTTTGGGGGGTGACTCTCACCACAAAGAGTGTGGTCCGCAGCCTGGGGGTCCATCTTGACCCAGTGCTTACCATGGAGTCCCAGGTAGCATCTGTGGTCTGTACCGCCCATCTACATCTATGGTGGATTGCCCAGCCTCACTTCTATCTTGATGTTGGGGTGCTCACCACTCTGGTCCATGCTCTCGTAGTCTCGAGATTAGACTACTGTAAGGTGCTCTATGTGGGGCTACCCTTGAGATTGTTGCAGAAACTACAAATGGTTCAGAATACAGCCGCCAGACTATTAACTGGGGTGAAAAAATATCATCACATTTCCCCCACCATGGCGGCCTTACAATGGTTGCCCATTTGTTTTTGCATTGACTTTAAGGTACTGATGCTTACATATAAAGCCCTAAATGGTTTACGACCTCAATACCTGGCAGAGTGCCTGCTCCCACCTAGCTCTACTAGTGTCACTTGATCTAGCCAGGCTGGGCGGCTGAGGGGCTTGACCCCGAGAGAGGCCCGAAAGGAGAAAACTAGAAACTAGAAACTGGGGCCTTCTCAGCGGTGGCCCCTCACCTCTGAAACATCTTGTCCCCTGAGATTTGCTTGGCATCTCACTGGGAGTTTTAAAGAACAAGCTGAAGACTTGGTTCTTCAGGCAGGCTTCCCCCCTTCCATCACTTAGTTCCTTGTGTTTTCCCATCTTGTATTTTGCTTACTTCTCTTTTTTGTCTAGCTATTGTCTGTTTTAATTCTTGTTTTATATTGCTCAGACTTGTAAGCCGCCCAGAGTTGATTGGTTTGAATCTAGATGGGGGTGGGTGGGTAAAAGCCAAATAAATAAATTAATAAATAAATATAAGGAAAACTGAACACGTGAGGAAAGATTAGAACTTACACTGCCTATACATGGGGAAGCTAAAAAAATATGGGGCTTTCTTGGTATTATTCACACCAGCATGCCTTGCACTCCTGTTGGCCATCCATGCCTGGATTTAAGCAGGATCATTTAAGTAGGACCTACTCAAATAAAATCCAGCACAGTGGTCCTGTTTAGCCCAGATAATTTCCCAAGCAAAACTTGGGTGGTAAGAAGTGAGCTATGCTTTCAGTCTCTCTCCATCATAAAACAGAAGTACTGTAATTGTGGTGGTATTGCCAAATCCAGCATGACTTGGCAGTAAAGGAAAAGCCAAAGGAATCTGGAACACTATGAAAACTCCCTCCTTATGCAGGACGCCTTTGGATCAAATCATTACATTCAGAACTGGCCACGTTCAACACTGACTCATCAATGAGTGTCAGGTTTTATGAGGCTTTCATTGCTCAAGTTTGAAATCAACCCAAATAACAGCTGGCTGGGTTTTATATACAACCCAATTGCAATGTAACACTTGAGCTGTCATCTGTTGCAAAGACGGCAACCCTCAATGTAACCAGCTCAACAAACCTACTGTACTTAGGTTGCAAACGTACTCTTTTACTCATTCATACATGTTCTTAGTTGTGGTGGAAATTTTCTGGTCTGACAAAGATGGCAATGATTGGACACTTACCTTTTTCATTTCCATTTGCATATTGTGGAGGCTTGCTTTTGTCAATGCTATTAAAGCTCTGACTTCTTCTATTTAAATTTGAGGCTCCCTGGACTTTGATACTGCTGCCTGCAGCTGGCACCCTTGAGGGTCCGGGAAGTCTGGAACAGTATAGTCAGAAATAAATGTGTTGCACAAGGTATACTTAAACAGAACAAGCAGAGAGCTGATCAACAATGATTTGGGGAGAAAGCAATGACAACAAACAACAACACAATCCATGGTTACTTAGACTCTACACTGCCAATGAAAGGTTTGTCTTAATAGGCACGGGGGGGGGGGGGGGAGTTAATATACAGGATTCACAGACAGACATATAAGGATCCTTTGCATTTTCCATTCATACTGCAAAAAAAAAAGATTCACCTATATGCTTTATAAGCTATGCAACCTTTAATTAAAATGCTTCAGTTCCCCATATTACTGGAAGATAAATGTAACGACACTAAAACAATGCAAACATACAATTTAGCAGAAAAATACACTTTGGACGCTCTTAAATAAATACTGTGCTTGATTGTTTGAAGATGGCTTTTTTTACTGTTATTACAGAAACTCAAACATTTGCAAGAGAATCTAAAGGGGAAGGGGAAGAATTCAGTGAATAACATTGCCCACATATTCATAACTTTAAATAAATATTTGAACAAAAGCGATCCATTCTACAAACTTACAGTTCAGGCTACATATTTCACTAGTTGGTATTTGCTGCCACCATCTGAAACATCCTAGGCAGCAAAGTTAAAATTAATAAAGATCCTACTGCCTGTGGTATATACAACACACTATATTGCATTTCATTTGATTGGCTAGTTTGATTTTTATGCAACATCAGACAGTTGTGAATTGCTGTCCATAGATAGGAAGTGCAACTGTACAAAGCAAAGACTTGGTATCTGTTCATAAGAATCAGATCAGGACTTTGAAAACTTTCCTAGAGTTATATGGTGTTACTTTGCAACATCTAAACCAACATTAGCAATGTGAATTATCAGTATCTGACATAAGTAGAAAGGAGAAAATGTAATCCAAAAAGAGCATAAACATATTGGACCTTAGAGTTTTTTCTTGCTTTTGTTTGAAAAAAAAACCCTGCTGTGATTACTACATTGGTATATACAAATGAAATAATTTCCACCTTTCTCCACTGATGATGAAAAATATTTAGAATGTAACTAACACTGTTCATTCCTTATATTTCCTCTTTTGAAGAGGTAGGTGGAGAACTGCAGTGTTAGATTTACTTTTCAATTCACTTTCCTTGTTGATCATTTCCTTTGGTGTCCTTGCCAGGAGCAGCACAGATGGATTGATTCATCTTCTCTATGCTAAAGTTTATTGCGACTTGTGAAAACAATTGACCTATGCCTACATATTCAGTTACCTTATTAATTAGCATGGTAAAAATAAATTTAAATCCCGTCCCTGCACACTATGCAAGTTAACTAATGAATAATTACAAGGGGTATTTGCATATTTGAACTCTCTGTCTCTCATTCACTCACTCACACACAGAGACATGCAGACTTCTAACTAGAAGGCCATATACTTTCCAGACCCACCCATTTTTCTTCCAGTTCATTCCAGGTCTAGTCACTCCCCCACAGAATCATTTTAAGCAACAAAGGAAATGCAAAGTAGAAAGCAACAGGTAGTTCACAAGGGGTCACAGAGGGCACACCTCTTTTCAAATTTATTATAGATTCATTAGCATTAGACAGACAACTATTAGATCCCAGACAGGATGAATTGTGGATAAGACACAAGTTCAGAATAAACAGGATTAAAAATCTATAATGACAGGTGTACAACAACTGCACCGTACTGCCAGTGGCTCAGCTTGTCTTATAAAGCTGACTCTGTACATTGAGTTATATAACTGATAGTTTGTTGTCAGCAGTGAACTGCAGAGCAAACAATGGGATCAGTTTTCAAAGGACTGCATGTTATCAACATAGACTTACAAAACAAATACACAGATGAAGAGAGGCGGCCATAAGCCTTAGCAGAGGCAGAAAAGGCTGTCAATATGCAGGCTGTTTAAGACTAAGATTTCCATTGTTTTAAGCATGCCCTGTTTTGTTTTGCAGCTGCATAGGAACAATACTTGCCTATATGATAAGAGAGTTTGTACAAAGCATTCTTAAAATATTTCAGATTAGATCAGTGCTGATCATTCTACTGTAGTGGCTTGCAAATGGTTTTCACGTGAATACAGGAAGCTGCTATGATGTAACTGAGTGACAGCAATAGGGTTTCAGATGGGCAGCAATTCAGGATTTCTCAGCTTTATCTGGAGGTATCAGGAGTTGAACATCACCAGACCTCTTGCACATAAACAGGGGCTTTATTACTGAACTACAGCCCACCACCCAACCAGGCTGCACCCTCAGAAAGAGTGATAATGGCAAACAGGTTTGAAAACCACTGTTCTTTTCCATTCCAAAGGCAACACTTAGGCTACTCCTGGTTTGTGTGCAGAGCTGTTCTCCTTCAGTAACTGGTACTTTCTCTTCTGTTAAACTGGGTCTGAAAACTGAAAAGGTTGTGATTTTGCAACAAACTTCTGCTAGGCATCAGTACCGCTTCTTTCCACTTGAAAACCAAATTATGAGAGAATGTAGATGTCGCATGAACAGATAGGCCTACATCCAACTTCTAATCCCCAATGAATGTATTGGTGCACAATAAGCCAGTATATCTATAAGGTAAAAGTAAAGGTTCCCCTTGACAATTTTTGTCCAGTCGTGTTCGAGTCTAGGGCGCAGTGCTCATCCCCGTTTCCAAGCCATAGAGCCAGCGTTTGTCCGAAGACAATCTTCCATGGTCACATGGCCGGTGCGACTTAGACACGGAATGCTGTTACCTTCCCACCGAGGTGGTCCTATTTATCTACTTGCATTTGCATGCTTTCGAACCGCTAGGTTGGCGGGAGCTGGGACAAGCGACGGATGCTCACTCCGTTGCGTGGATTCAATCTTACGACTGCTTGGTCTTCTTACCCTGCAGCACATCCCCTTAATTCAGTAAGAATATTCTGACTGGGACTGGTAATCAGATTTAGGTTAATCTTATGGTTAGCCTAAATCTGATTATTAGTCTCAGTCAAAATATTTTTATTGAATTAAGGGGATTTATAGATATACTGGCTTATCTTACACTGCTATGAGAGGGGCGTGGTGGCGCTGCGGGCTAAACCGCAGAAGCCTGTGCTGCAGGGTCAGAAGACCAGCAGTCATAAGATCGAATCCACGCGATGGAGTGAGCTCCCATCGCTTGTCCCAGCTCCCGCCAACCTAGCGGTCCGAAAGCATGCAAATGCGAGTAGATCAATAGGGACAACCTTGGTGGGAAGGTAACAGCATTCCGTGTCTAAGTCGCACTGGCCATGTGACCACGGAAGATTGTCTTCGGACAAATGCTGGTTCTATGGCTTGGAAACAGGGATGAGCACCGCCCCCTAGAGTCGAACACGACTGGACAAAAATTGTCAAGGGGAACCTTTACCTTTACAGTGGTATGGATTTTGCCATTGCATCTCAATTGATAGACAAGTATACTAATCCCTCATCTATCACATATTCACTCAGTGCCAGCCTTCTCTGGCTGCCAAAACATATCTAGACATCCTCAAGGCAAGTGTCGGAGGTGGGAAGTATCCCAGCATAGGCACCCAGCTGCTTGTACTTTTTATGATATCCCCTGGGCAGAAGAGGAAAAGGAGCAGGAGGAAATGGCAGGGAGACCTGAAAACTGTCTTGCTTCAGTATACCTGAAGTGAAGTATATACTTGAAGCCTTTCTGTGCTACATCATTCTATGTACTGAAGAAAAACTTTTCAGGGGCACTAATATTCCTCAAGAACCTTGATGGGTGGCTCAGATCTGTTCTTTTACATGCGGTGTAATAAGCTGCAACACAGAGATATGCCTAAAAGCTACTACTGAGAGTTGTTATTTTTGCAGTCATGGCCATGTTTTTTTTTCTATGGCCAATAAAATATTCTGCAAAGCCTGCAGTTCATATATGATGAAACAGCCGTGATGACTACCTTGCTATGCATTTATGCCACGCCAGTGGGCATTGGCTCCATTAAGCATCACTAGCAAGTACTGTAATAAATTAGAGGTATTAACTGACCTAGAAGGCTTTTTTTGATTGGTTGCAATTCCACTGTGATTAGACTGAGTTGCATATCTGGCTGTCAGACTGTATGAGAAGAAACAGAGAAAGTGAATTAAAGAATTTTTTGAATATGCATAAAAAGCACGAACTTACCACCAAATGATGGAGTTAATGTAATGCAAATAGAACATGGATAGAAAACAAATTAATCAAAGAAAGGGTTAAATGTAATGTTTACACCATGAAGTTTCAAAGTACAGACTATGTTGTAATGCAATGCATTGAGAAGAGCCCCATCTCCTGGAGAAAGCAGCCTCATGTGTTGAGTATGGAAGTGACAGCTACCAGCATTCATAGTGCTGTAAAATACAAAATGCATTTATGCCTGCCTGCCTGCCTGCCTATTACACTCAAATATAATTGCAGTCATAAACATCTGCACTAAATCTTGTTGTAGTATCATTTGCCGTTGATTCCTATCAAGAAAAGCCACTTTGAACATTGTAGTAGTTAAGAATATTGCTTATGTTCACAAAATCAACTCAAGATCATTAATTGGAATCATGTGCTATGATTTATTCCTAAGATTCTTCCATTTTAGAATTTCACACAGCATGTTAATGCCTCTAGCTACCAAAACCATTTTCACAGGAAGAACACTTGGAATGACACTGCAGATAGTGGACAGATCTGGCTTTTTAAAAAAATTATTATTACAGGGCACATTTCTCAAACTGTTATTAACCAATAGGTAGCTATGTGGAGATTGCAAGTTGTTCTAAGTACATGCGAAAGAGCAAAGTAGAAAATGTAAAGCAGAAGAAGGTACAGAGATTGGTGAGTAACAGAATAGGCACTCGGAGCTATAAAGATTATGAAGTGATTAAACCTGGGATGCAGCATGACAGGGCATATGATGTGACAGCTTATTTATCTGTAACACAATTCTTGGATCATACCACTTCAGATTGGACACAAAGAACCATATGTGTCATTCTTTCACTATACTATAGAGCAAAACAAACCAAATAAACAAATGCAAGTATAAGCAATACCTTTATGGGTCACTAATAGTGGGATGCAATGGACAAACATCAGAACAATATTTTAGACCTCATTTCTAAAATAATTACTTTTTCATTAACCTTTTATTGCCTAAAATACCATCAGAATGGGAACACAATGGCCTGGAATGGCAACTTCTGAGTAAGATAACTGAACCAAATTCATGACACATGTGTGACCAGAGGAGACAGATGCAGCATGGCACTAAAATTCTCAATAATAACATTTCAATACCTGTTCCAGGCAGAAAATCAAGAGGGGGGGGAACCAGTCTCAAATGATGACTTTTAAATAGGGCAGCCCAAACAAATTCATCCTTCTTGTATGACTAGAGAGGGCTGATAGAACCAGCTCCAAAACACCCCCAAGAAAAACATTCCAGTACCCATTCTGGGCAGAAAATCAATACTGAGGGGGGGGGGACCCAGAACAGAGAATTCTGAGAAGAGCAGTCCAACAAAATCCATCCATTTGATCCGTCCAGAGGGGACTTACGCAATCTACCCCCCCCAAATACCCCCAGGAACAACATTCTAGTACCCATTCCAGACAGAAAAAATATATTGTGAATTTGTGCTAATCACTGTAAGGTTGGTCTAATTTTATTGGGGTGCTCTGTTCCGGAGTGGTTTTCGCAATAGAACAGGTATTGGAATGTTTTTTCCTGAGGATTATATGTGGCTGGCTGTATCTCTCTAGTCAAACATGTGTCAAATTTTTTGTTTGATTATCCTACCCAGAAATTGCCATTCTGGGCCACTGCGTTCCATTCAGGTGGGTTCAGGGTTATAAAGGATTGAAAAAAAAGTAATTTTTTTTTAGGATTGAGAACTACAATGTTATGATGTTTGTCCTTTGCATCCCACTATTTTTGGCATTAGGTTTTATTAAGAAGTCCCCGTCCCACCCCATTCTGTTCTGTTGCAGCTTTCACCTAGTCCCAACTTAAGGAGATGTTAAATTTAGCTGAACTAGTATGAATAGTAACAAGAAAGCACTGCTCCCATACAGATATTTGGATCAGTACCAAGGCTTCATACAATGATGACATCTTTAAAAACTATATTAAGGAAGTAAAAGTGAACAAATATCTTCAAATCTCTGCCAGAGCTTCAAAAATTCTCCCAAGAGAGAGGAGCCGCCTCAGGAGCCCACAGTGTTCTAAGGAGGGAATGTGTTGGAGAAGCATGTAAAAATACGAGTAGATAAATAGGTACCACCACAGTGGGAAGGTAATGGCGTTCTGTATCTAGTTGCACTGGTCACGTGACCACAGAAACTGTCTTCGGACAAACGCTGGCTCTATGGCTTGGAAATGGGGATGAGCACCGCCCCCTAGAGTCCGACACGACTGGACTAAATGTCAAGGGGAACTTTTACCTTTACCTATTACTCTTTTAATTTCTGGTACTTCTAAAATGGAAAAATGTGTACAGTGCTCTCCCTAGGTAAAAGTAATTGAACATGAGAAAACAACACACTGTAAAAGGAGAAGAAAAAAAATACAAACTGTCACAGATAAACAATAGCAGGGATGGACAAATGTAGCCTTCCAGAGACTCTCACAATCTCCCACCATTGCTATGCTGGCTAGACTGCCCTTTAGACTCCAGGGATGCTTACTATGCTTACTGACAAGGTTACAGCCTGTTTTTTCACAGTTCTGTGAACCAGGTATCCACTGCGCTTTCCTTCTTTTCCTGTAAACAGAACACTGTCATAGAGCCAAGGAGCCTTTCTCCTATTAAAACTCCTTTTAGCGTCCAAATCCAATTATTTGTTTAGAGCAAAATCCGATATTTTATTTATTTATTTCATTTCATTTTATATTGCCCTTCTGACCAAAGGCCATTCTGGGTGGTTTAGAACATACAAAATAAGATACATGCAATGAGATTTTTCTCTGTTCTTTGTACTCCTCAACTGCTCTGGATAGTTCTCTGTGGGAAGAAAGGGGAATCACCCCTTCCATCCTTGGTCAAACCCATTCTATCTGTAGGAAGGGCTACTTGGGTGCAATTGCTCTTGATCTGTATTTACTAAAATAATTTTAAAACCATGATTCATTCTTACAAATATCAACTAGTAACATTCATTCATTCATTCATTCATTCATTCATTTTATATGCCGCCCACACTACCCAAAGGTCTCTGTATCATGTAGGCATCCTTCAGTCTCAATAGACTATGGTAACATGTTCTCAATAGAGGTCTTGGAACAGCGTCTAGTGTGGCTGAGAAGGTCAGTTCAAGAGTGACAATCCTTTCCACACTGAGGACAAATAGTCTGTCCCCTGTCCAGCTCCCTGATTTTGCTGGTTTTGGGACTGCCTCTTCGCCTCAGCCTGCTGGACAAGGGTCTCTTCAAAATGGGAGAGGCCGTGATGCACTGCCTGCCTCCAGGCTGAACACTCAGATGTCAAGGTTTCCCATCTGTTGAGGTCCATTCCTAAGGCCTTCAGATCCCACTTGCAGATCTCCTTGTATCTCCCTCTGGGGCAATTTCCCTGCATTAATTCTCCATACAGGAGATCTTTTGGAATCCAACCATCAGCTATTCTCACAACATGCCCAAGCCAGCGTAGACGTTGCTGTTTCAGTAATGTATACATGCTAAAAATTCCAGCTCGTTCTAGGACTACTCTATCTGGACTTTGGTCTTCTCTCTCAATCTAGAGAGATTAAAGAGCTTTCCAACTGATCTAGTCCACAGATATATAAGTATAAGGAACTGCATGAATACAGCACACAATAAAAGCAGTGCAATGCAATCAGCAAAACAATGGAGAGGCAGCCAATACAGCAAGTCATGCAACTGAGTTTAAAATGCTAAGAGAAACAAAACAAATTGAAAACTGCTGTTCTCTCAAAATTTTGAAATTCTTGATAGGCCAGCTGCAGTCATGAGGTGTTCAACTAAATTATGTAAGATGAAATATGAAGGAAGATATTAAAGAAATAGAAGGGAAAACATAAGTTAAATTGAGAGCATATACTTTCACATGGAGTACATGACAAAATGTGTTCACACTTAAAAATATAAGAAGAACCCTGTTGGTCAGACCACATTCCTACCTATTTCAATAGTAAATAACTACAGGAAGCCCACAAGCAGAATCTGAGTTCATGTTACACAGTTGAGGCACACTGCCTGATACTGCAGGAACCTACAGCTATAGTGGCGAGTAGACTTTGATACGTTTCTCTTCTATTAATTTGTCTAATCTCCCTTTTAAAGCCAATTGTGTGGCTGGTCATCAGTATTCATGCAGTAATGAATTCCATAGTGTGAACTATGAACTATGTAAATAAGTACTGTAGTTCCTCTTTTTCCAACTTGATTCTCCAACCCTTCAGCTTCACTGGATAATGTATATTACAAGATGGTAGTTTTAGAAGAGGCCTGAAGAAGTGGACTTGTCCATGAACACTCACATTAAAATATAGCAGTTAGTATTTAAGGTGCTACAACATTTTTGTCTTTTTTTGTTTTTGCCTGAGAAATTACAAGAAGGGGCCCCGCTTTTCTCTCAGTATCATGCATAATTTTAAGCCTGAAGAAGTGGACTTGTCCATGAATACTCACATTAAAATATAGCAGTTAGTATTTAAGGTGCTACAACATTTTTGTCTGTTTTTGTTTTTGCCTGATAAATTACAAGAAGGGGCCCCACTTTTCTCTCAGTATCATGCATAATTTTATATATCTTTGACATGTCCCCTTTGCTTTCCTCCCTTCTTACCTAAAACATCCTTTTAAAAAAATTAACCCTTCCTCATTGGGGAGCTGTTCCAGCCCTTTCAACATTTTGATTGTCAAAATAAATAGGAGGGGACTAGTAGAAGCTGTACATTGCTCTCAAGGCTAAAGAATGCTGGTTATCTTGTGCAAAAACATACAGTAAGGCGATATATTATTTCTTTACTAATTATTTACGCATTCTGTCTTCCTACCAACAAGCTCAAGGTGGTATACATGGCTCTCCTTGTCCTTATAATCACAATAGCCCTGTGAGGGT